CGTGCATTAACTCATACAAATTATACGATGATTTATGAAGAGAAGACACATTTTGCAGATAATGAAACTGAGTCCCACACTTGACCACTTTTAGGCTATTAGAAAAATTTGGAGTCCTTTCATATCACATTAGAAGCAGCAGATTAGATGTAAAGGGAAAATGAGGGCGCCTGGGTGGCTCAGTTGGTTAAGCGACTGCCTTCGGCTCAGGTCATGATCCTGGAGTCCCTGGATCAAGTCCCGCATTGGGTTCCCTGCTCGGCGGGGAGCCTGCTTCTGCCTCTGACCCTCCCCCCTCTCACGTGCTCTCTCTCTCTCATTCTCTCTGTCTCAAATAAATAAATAAAATCTTAAAAAAAAAAAAAGAAGTAAAGGGAAAATGGAATCCTTTTATAATAATGAGAAGTAACTGTTTACACCTATTTAATTATTCATTCATTTCCCCTTCACTCAGCAAATATTTATTGCTCATTTTCTGTGTGCTAGGCATAAAGGTACAAAAACTGTCAAAGGCAGATGGAACACTTACAAATCATGGTCCTCTGGTGTTATCTGTCAGCACTGTATGGGGACAGCAAGGCATTACATACAATAGGTGTTTTTTAAGAGTTCTTTAAGTAAAAAGTTCATTTATCCATATACCTTAGTTTTTGGTTATAGCCACCATGATGTTGTATTGTTTCAGTTTTGGTGTTTGGTCAGATTCGTAGAGTATTTGGTATCTTCATAAACTTGGTGGGACTACCATCATAATCTGTGTCACATTTACGCAAGTTTCTTTATTTTATTTATAAAAGTATAGCTTGAATCTTTCTTTTTCCATTATGATAATAGGGTATAGCCTTGATAGGCATTATCATTTAGAACAGGAATTGGCAAACGATGGCTTATGGGCCAAATCTGGTCTGCTGCTTGCTTTTGTAAATAAAGTTTTATTGGGACACAGCCATACCCATTTGTATATGTATTGTCTATGGCTTGTGCACTGCAAAGGCCAAATAGAGTTGTTGCAAAAGAAACATTGTGGCTACAAAGCCAACCTATTTACTATCTGGCCCTTTACAGAAAAACTTTAATGACTCCCAATATAGAAGTTATAATTTTTGGAAATTATGTTTCTTTTGATGAGAAAGGAAAAGCTAGACAAAGATTGTTTTATGTTTAGTATAAATGAAACCTTAAGGTGCTCATTAGACCTTAGGATTTTTTTCAGAGACAAATTTAGTTTTTGGTACATTGTTTATTTTAAAGTACTATTTAATCTATTATATTTCATAAATTTGCTCAAATTTGTGCTACTTTTGTTGTATGAATGTGAAAAGGCAATTAAAAAAAAGACAATTCAAAAATGAAAGATTAAAAGAAACATAAGAGATCTATTAACTAATCAGAAGGTAGAGATTTAGATAGATTCCCATTTAAACCAAAGTTTAAAGACCAAAATAACAATAATAGAAAACATTTTATAAGACAACCAGAGAAATGGAACATTGATGAGATATATTTTGATTCTAAATATTGTTCATTTTTTTATGTGTCAATTGCTTATGTCGAGGTTCTGTTTTTTAAGAAATAATTTTTTATTTATTTATTTTTAAATATTGTTTATTTATTTGTCAGAGAGAGGGAAAGAGAGAGAGAGAGAGAGAGCACAAGCCGGGGAAGTGGCAGGCAGAGGGAGAAGCAGCCTCCCCACCGAGCAAGGAGTGTGATATGGGACTCAATCCTAGGACCCTGGGATCATAACCTGAGCCGAAGGCAGATGCTTAACCGACTGAGTCACCCATGTGTCCAAAAAGTCATTTTTTAAATGTAAAAAAATTGAAATTAAATTAAAAAATCTTTTAAAGAGTTAAATTCTTACTATTTAATTTGGTTGGTATGTTATTTCCAAATACAAGTTCCCCTTTATTTTCACTTTATATGTCTATAAGCTTTAAATGATCAATACCTACTAATTTGTCTTTCCTTAGTTTTGTATATTTATGATGAATAAGGAAGCAATAGGTAAAATAGATAGAAATCAGTTTTTAAGTACAAAGAAACAGCTCTCATTTTCTCCTGTATCTTTCTCATCCAGAATAACGTATTTTGATTATTGGGATCTCTGAGCATTCTTGAGAGCTTTCTAAATCACAAGATGACACATTTTTAGACTGATGATAAAGTCATGGTTCTTTGGAAATGGGTGGTTGCCATCCATGAGGTTGCAGTTCACATCTCCTATTTGCCCAAAAGCTCTTTCTAGGAGGCTTGGCTGTGCTAGTGTTGGCAGCAGCAGTTAGAGTACGGCTTGTTGAAGGTTTCAATCACCCCTCCTCAGGGCTGCTCTCAGTAGAGTGTTGTTGCTTTTTGTTTTACATTGTGTTGGACTTGTTTTAAGTATAACACAAGGAAAATGCTGTCCCTTAAGGAATTTTGACACCGTAGTTTATTACTATTTGTTTAATATCTTGCCAATGTTTATTTGATGCTTAGTTTGCTTTAGGCACTGTCGCGAATGCTTGGATATATCAGTGAAAAAACAAAGATTCCCACTCTTATGAAGCTTACAGTTTCTTTGGGGAAGATAGAAGTGAATAATAGATATAATATGTAAATTATAAAGTGTCTAGTACGTAAGAAGGTAGAAAAAAGAAAAATGTAGAAAGAGCAAAATGGCAGGGATTGGGAGTCCTGGATAGGTAGTTGGGTACAGTTTTAAATAGGTCTCATTAAGGGGATACATTTGAGCAGATGAGGGAATTTACCATTTGGGAAATAAGGATGAGCCTGATAGAGGGAACATTCAGGGTGAAGGATTGAGACTGGAAGTCCCTTGGCATATTTGTTTTTGGGGAGGCTGGAGTAGAGTAAGCCAGAGGGCAAGAAGACTAAGAGATGAGGTAAGGAGGGAGCAGAAAGGATCAGATCACTTGGAATTCTCATGAAAACTTCAGGTTTGTCCAGGTTTTGAGAAGAGGAATGTCATTGTCTGACTTGTGTTTTACAAGGATGTCAGTGGCTGGTGAGCATAGACTGGGGCAGGGAACAAAGCAAGGCATACATAAAAGTAATGAGTCCATTGCAACAGTCCAGGTAACAGATGATGGTGGTTCAGACAAAGGTGGTAGCAGGAGAGGTGGTGAGAAGTGGTCAGATTCTGGATATATTACAAAGGTAGAGTCTATGGGATTTCCTAACTTGATTTAGACAAAATTTATCTAAAAGTTTTCTCCTTGGAGAGTCATTAAGACTGAAAGAAAGGTGAATTGATACTGCATTTAATGTTCTAGAAAGTGATTTTTTTGGACATGTTAGTATCATGTAGCTTTTCAGAATTTTAAAATGATTTCAAAAGCACTTATATGCCATTTTTGTGTGATTATTAACTACTAGACAGGTAGTTTTTGATAGTAAGAAAAGGTCAGATATTCAGTATTCTTATCCATAAGATGGCATTCAGATAGTCACCTTCTGTGAATATTGTAAAATGCCTCAACTATTTTAAAAACTTGCATAGCAGCCAATGGCAAATTGATTTAATTTAAAAGCAATGACTGTTTAAGAAATGAAAAATAAAACTAAGAATATTTTGTAAAATGCCATTGATTCCAGATACGGGGATTGAACCCAAGATGACCAATGGGCGTGCTAAGATTTAGCTTCAAACTTCTGTTCTGATCATTTAATATGTTACTTTGGCATCTCTTTTACATCTTCACATGAAGAGAAGTTATTTCTTATATCACATTCCTTTTCTGGAAGAAGGAAGTGCTAAAAATGCCATCAGGACGGCTCAACTCGCATTCAAGTTTCTATTTCAGTTATTCTTCCATTTGAACTTTATGTGACAGCTTTTCTTTGCATATTCTATGCAGTGGTCTTCATTTGATAGAAGAATAGGACAGACTGTTTTCTACTTTCAGAATCCTTTAGAATTTAAAAAATATAGAAGTTTGAAGGGGTAAAGTTGTTTATTCTTGTTGGCCCTCCTCTTTTTTCAATGCCTCCTACCTTTATGTATATTGGAAAATAGTTATTGGACGTAAGTATTTAGTTTCTCACTAGAACTATTTGGATGTTTTTGAGTGGCTCCTTAGATTTTGTTTTGCTGGTCTTCTTAACAAATGAATCTAAAGACTTCAATGTGCATTACTTTGAGTGTTAGTGTTGGAATGATTAGATGAACAGAAACAAAAAATAGGGAGCAGAAAACTAATGAGCAGGCACAAGTTCAAGGAAACCCATTACTAGTCGGCTGAGATCTTTAAGAAGTTGGCTATGGAAGGAGATGAAGTGATTATTATGGTAACTGCTTGCTATTACTGGGTTAGGGAATGAATGGAGTGGTTAATTATCCTGAATGCTATTTGAAATCTTTGAAAATAAGTTTTTTACAGTTAGCTAACAATATCCTTTTATTTACTTCTTCATGTTAAAACTTGCAGTTTAGGGCTTAAAAAATTACTTTTGTTACACACCATAGTACTTACCACAGTAGAAATGATCTGAGGGGCATACATATAGGTCATATGTATATTTTTGTTGCACCAAGGCTTGCAAATGTAAGTACATTTCATTGTTTTGGGGCATCTCTGGATGTACTCACTCATGTTGAGTAGATCCAGTTGTTACAGTAGGCAAGATTACCAAATCTGAAAACAGCCACTGAAACTTTAATTCTTAACCTGATTAAATGGATCTTGTGACCATGGTGATCCAAGATAAATCTTAATATTTTCCACTGGGAAATCAACTATTTTTTTACTTCTTATGTTGAATTTTGCCAGTTTTTAGTTGTTGGTTATTGCAAATGAAATTGTCAATTGTAAAATTTCTAACTCGGGGAAAATTTTAAAATTTGGGGCATATAGCCATATTATTATTTTGAGGTAAACCTAGAATTATATCTATATGCAAGACATTTTTTCAGTTGCCTTACTGTATGATTTATATTTATTGAATATGTAGAAGAAGATGATACTGAATTTTTAAAAGAATAATTTTTCTGTTGTTAGCTTTTTAGTTGGAGAAGGAGCCTACAGATGGGCAGTAGATCATGGAATACCCTCTTGCCCTCCTAACATCATGACCACAAGTGAGTAAAAACTTTTCAAAATTAAGCATATATACCTGGAAGTGTTACATTGCTTTAATCCACATAGTACTCTGATATTTAAAAAAGGAAGCTTATATGTCAAAATATTTATAGTTAAAAGATACATAGAAAGTTATTTGATTTTAAGGCACTTTTATATTCCTGAGGATCCCCCCATTCTCATGCTTTTATAGAAGTACTGCTAAAGGATCCCTTTTAGGTTACTTAAAATAATTACTAACAATAAAACCTTGACTGTCATCCCTGGTCTTTACCTCACCATCATTTTGGATTTCTTTTTCATTTCTCCAATATCAGGTTCTCTGTTTCCTGAATCTCATGTGTTTTTTCTCTCTCTTGTTTTATTCCCTTATTTGGTATAATTAAGACTAGAAATTGTTTTCCCTAGGTTTTGAAGAACTTGTTCTCTTATGTTCTAGTTTTCAGTCTTGCTGTTATGCATTTTGATTCCCAGTTCTTTGTGGTGTACTTTTCGTCTTTGGAAAGAAGCCTTAATTCCTGTGTTCTTAATATTACGATGAAGCGTCTTATAATGGGTTTTTTTTTATTCAATATGCCTGATACTTACTGAGTACTGAGTACTTTTAATCTGGAAATTCATGTGGTTTAGTTTTGGGGAAATTAAAAAAAATTGTATATTAATCTCATCCCTTATCTTTCCTCTATTTTATTTTTCTAATTTCTGTGAATTGGATGTTGGATCTTATGCTCCAATCCCTTGTATCTTTTTCAAAAATTATTTTTTCTCCTTTTTGAAATCTTTTTTGTCCTACTGTCTCAGAAATGTCTTCAGTTTTATCTCCTAAATCTTCTACTTCTTTTTTTTTTTTAAATTCTACTTGAATAAATGCTTCAAGCAGAAGTTCTTTTTTTTTTTTTTTAAGATTTTATTTATTTGACAGAGAAAGACACAGGAGAGAGGGAACACAAGCAGGGGGAGAGGGAGAAGCAGGCTTCCCGCAGAGCAGGGAGCCCAATGCGGGGCTCCATCCCAGGACCCTGGGATCACGACCTGAGCCGAAGACAGATGCTTAACAACTGAGCCACCCAGGCGCCCCTAAACCTTCTACTTCTTTTTTTTTTTTTTTTAAGATTTATTTATTTATTTGTCAGAGAGAAAGAGAGAGCGCAGCGCGCATGAACAGGGGGAGTGGCAGGCAGAGGGAGAAGCAGGAGCCTGATGCGGAACTTGATCTCAGGACCCTGGGATCATGACCTGAGCCGAAGGCAGACGCTTAACCAACTGAGCCACTCAGGCGTCCCTAAACCTTCTACTTCTGATGAATTTGTAATTTTGGCTTTTATTTGTTTTAATTTCTAGGGATTCATCAATGACTAATACTTTTTTTTTTTACAAAAAAGAATAGTATTGACCTATGGTGAATTTGGGAGGTGAATTTGGGAGGAGAAATTATAACTATTATTTAGATTTAAAAAAAATTTAAATGCTGTCCTATATTGGGCACTTGTCTAATCCTCAATCAAACCTTTTTTGGTTTTGGGAGGGTATCATTGGTAGGTTTTTATTCCCTTTCAGTGTTCCAAAAGTTTTCAGAATGTCTTTCTCAGGTTTATTCTAAAATAATCTTCTACATAGTTTCTCACATACTTAATATTTCATTCCCATATGTAGATGTGAATTTCTATCTGGTATTATTCCCTTCACCTTAGAACAAGCATTTCTGATAATGTGGTAGGTGTAGTGGTGAAAAATCAGCTTGTTATTTGAAAAAATCTTTATTTTGCCTTTACTTTTGAAATATAATTTGTTGGATACAGACTTCTACATTGTCAGGTTTTTTTTCTTTTAGCACTTTTTTTCCTTTTTTTTATTGTGGTAAAAAATATATAACATAAAATTTACTATTTTAACAGTATTTAAGTATATAATTCAGTGGTACTACATACATTTCAGTCTTGTATAACTGTCACCACTATGCATTTCCATTAACTTTTTTATCATCCCAAGCAGAAAACTCTATACCCGTTAAACTACCCATTCCCCCTTCTCTCTAGGCCTTGGTAGCCTCTATTCTACTTTCTTTCTCTATGACTTTGTTCTAGGTAGCTCCTTAATCATACAGTATTTGTCATAGACTGATTTTTAGGCTTTGTGAAAGTGAGTCTATTTCAGTTTTGTTCTTAAACTTAGAAACCTTAGTACTAGCCTGTGGTCTTTCTTCCCAAGATATAGCCTTTCTAGGGTTTTATTCAAAAGTCTCAAACTTGAAACTTTGTCTCTTCTACAGTAAGTATCTCTCAAAATCTTTGTCAGCTTTTCAGCTGTTATTTTCCTCACTAAACTCTATGGAATCTTGCATCTTGTATGAACAGTTAAGGACTTATTCAAGAATTTGAAGGGATGTTTATATAGATTTGGGGGCTTCCCTTTTTTTGTGTATGTGGCTTTCTCCTTACCAGGATTCCTCCCTCAATTTCCAGTTGCTTCAGTAGCCCCAAACACCTTCATCTCCATCCGGCAAGACTGTAGTTTTCGATTTGAGATCTTTTTGCTGTGCATCTACAGTTTTGACTGTAGTGCCTCATGGGGAAAGCTGTATGAATGTGGATCTCACCCAGTATGTTTCTTTTCTTTCTGTGGTTGAATTCTCTCCTATTTCTGCCAGCTTTTTGTCACTAGCCTTCAAATAGCTTTCTTTTTTAATTAAAAAAATTCTGACTAGAGTTTGTAATTGTTATTGGTCTGTGGGTTAGTCTTATATAAGCTACTCCATTACCAGGAGCTGGAACCTATGTTTTGTAAATGTGTACTATTAACAGCTATAATAATATAACAAATATAAATTAAAAAATATAACAAATTTCACATTATAAAAGAGAGTTGATTACTTTAACATTGTATTTGTTACTTTTTAATTGTGTGGTACAGGAATATGTTACCTTTTAAAAAATTGAAACATTCTACATAAACCTAACCTTCCTCTTTACTTCTCTTCTCAGCCCCAGCCTCTCCTGTCCACTCCCATAGCCACACTTATTTGTTGAATTTACTTGTTTCTGTGTCAACAGAAATGCTGGAATATGTAGTATTATTATTTTTGTTAGGTTTAGATAAATGGTATCATACTCTATAGTATCTTTAGTAAGTTTTTAGATAAGTGGTATAATATGATACTTCTAATTTTTTGTCAGTCAGCAAAATATTTTGAAATCTCTCCATGTTGATATATATAGATCAATTAATTTTTAAACTGCTGAATAGCATTTATCATATTTATTTAGCTATTTCTCTTTGATGGGCATTCAGGTTGTTTCTAGCTTTTGCCATTAACATTGATGATTTCACAAATATTCTTGTACATATCCCTTTGTACTTAAGTGTTTTGTTTATCTAGGTGGAAGTAGATTTGCTGAATCAGAATGTACATTTACCATTATGCTGGCTATTTGTGTTTCCCCTCCCAAGACATTTACTCTCTGTCTACTTTTGCGAAGTCTGTCTTTGTAAAGCTGCTGCCATTACTGACCACATAGTAGCTCAGAGTATAGGCTTTAGAGGCATATATCTTTGTGTGACCATGGACAAGTTACCTCCAAGAAACTTTTCTTATGGACAGATTGTGATTACTTGAGATAATGTATAAAGAATTCTTATTCCAATTTGCACATAGAAACACTCAAATGTTAATATAATTCTTACTGTTAATAATATGTTTGATATGAAAATGATCCTGGTGATGTGATTTCATCAGAATTTAATAGGTCTAGCTCTTTAGCACTGACTTGTGATTTTAGTGATTGATCCAATCTGGAGTTAGGTGTAACCATTAGAGCAGTGGTTCTCAACTTTGGCTGCATATTAGAATCCCTAGAGAGCTTTGAAAAACTCTGAAGCCCTGGCTGCGTCCAAAATCAGCTACTCTGTAGCTGACACCCAGGCATCTGAAGTTTTTGAAGTTTTGCAGGTAATTTCAATGTACATTCAATTTTAACAATGCCTGGGATAAAGCTTGTACATGCTTTTGAGTTCTCCCAGAAGATTCATTAAAGTTGAAATTGAAAGGAAAATAATTTTGTTGTTTCTTGGTAAAGGCCAACCTTAAGTAGTTTGTGCTACAAAGTTGCTACCATCTATTCTTTAATTTTCAGCTGTTTTATGCCTTGAATGGACCTAAGGTATATGTTTAAATATAAGTAAAGAGTAGATTGCAGACATTGTTCTGTCCTATCAATTTATGGGTGTGATTCTGCCACAAGGAATCCTATTTTCTTTTCTATTGACTGGATTCTGTTCTTACAGCTTTTCTGCCTTTGAGTAGGATACTTTGAAAGACAACATGATTGATAAAACATTTTGTGTACTAATTTAGAATTTTATTGTAGCTGGTATGTGGTACTTCGCTCTTAAATATGGCCAGTTATGCTGTTTTAAGTTTTTCCCCCTACACTTTTTATTTATTTATTTTTTATTTCAAGTATTTTATTTTTTTTATTATGTTCAGTTAGCCACTGTATAGTACATCATTAGTTTTTGATATAGTGTTCAATGATTCATTAGTTGCATATAACACCCAGTGCTCTGTTTTAAGTTTTTAATTTTTAGGTAATTATAAATTCACATGCAGTTGTAAGAATTAATAGAGAGAGATCCCTATGGATCCTTTGCTCAGTTTCCTCCAGTGGTAATAATCTTGTAAAACTATAGTGCAATACTACATTTGGGATATTGACGTTGATTTAGTCAAGATACAGAACACTTCCATCTTCACAAGAATATCTCAGTTTGCCTTTTTATAGTCATACCCACTCACCTCCATGCCTTCCTTAACCCCTGGCAGCCACTGATCTATTCTCCATTAGTATAATTTTGCTATTTCAAGAATGTTATATGAATGGCATCATTCACTATGTAACCTTTTGGGAACCAGCTTTTTAATAATTCAGTATAGTTCTCTGGAGAGTCATTCAGGTGGTTGTATTTATTAATAGCTTGTTCCATTTTATTGCTAAATAATCCA